GATCAATCAAATCAATGTATGCGGGGTTGCCTCATCATGCATACACATACCTCCATTTCTGCATAGCAGGCCGAAAGCCAATAAATAAATAAACAATCAAATCAACTTTACAACCAACAACTGCCTCACTAATTCTTGGTTAAAATTAGAAACTAGGAGATCAATGAAAGTAAAGTTGGTGACATGTACATGAACTCGAGCTGACCCGAGTTGACAAGCTCTTTTACTTTAACCTTCATTGCAGGGCTTTGCTGCCTCCACCATCTCTGGAAGAATGCCTATAATGGCGAAGAAAGAAATATAATTTATAAACTATTTCTAGTGAATCGCAAAAGGATTAAACAATTTTATGTTACGAAGAAAAAAAACAAAGAAAATGATCACAAAAACCAAGAAAGAAACTCTAAAATTTTGACCCTACCATCTCCACATATATGAACTTCCGATTCTTATCATCCAACAAGGCTGCAATCACAGAATCCAACACATTCTGCACACACGCTCCCTATTCACCAAAATCAGCGGCTAATAAGTGAAGAATCCCTCAATTAAGCTCAAAGATCACTAGGAATTATCCTTTCATTAACTCAACAAGTTCATTTTTCCGAAAAGAAAATTTTCTTTATAGTCACATATCGTAAAAAGGAGACACTGGAAGTATTTGACAGTGCAGAAAATGGTACCCGAATTGAATTGTTGGCACCAACGTAGTACTGATCAACGGTCTTCAACCAACCAACATCGTCGTGAGAGTGAGGAACCAAGTGAACATTGACCTTTCCGGGCACGATCCTCTGAGTCGTATTATACGATATGTACTCCGGCTCGGCGCAAGGAATAAGAATAGCCACCAAAAAGACCGCAAAGAAGGCGGCGATCGCCATGGCTGTTGCTTGACTGACAGCCGTGAGAGTGGCGGAGTTATATCGAGAGTTGCAGAAGCAGGGAACTTGACATTTTTATGGCTGGAACGAGATAATGATGGTTAATAAAAATTGGGTCTTCAATGATTCTCCGAAAAAATAAATTGTCTTCAATGTTTCTCTTCAATTATGTCTTTTGGGTAAAGCAACCCACGAGGTCCACTCTCCACAGCTTGCTTGTGTCTGAAGGGGCGTGTGTGGAAACAAGAGAAGTCTGTCTTTTTCTGCTCTCCTCATGAAATTAGCAGTTGAATTTTAAATTATTTCGATTTTGTTCTTTCAAATTTTTGTCTGCTGCGATTTTCATGATATTTTTGTTTATTCTTTTGGATAAAGCTTATTACTTTCAGATCATTTTTCTTTATTTTTAAAATGCTTATCCATTTTCTCACTCTTACAAGAAACAAACCCTAATGGGCCCAAGGATGTGGGTCGCTGGGCCCATCGAGTGGCCCAATAAGATACAGGTATGTTTGGTTATGAAGGTATCATTGTCTTAATCCGGGACAAAATTCAGAACTACTTTACCACAAATATCTTCAACCATCCACCCAGTCAATCCAAAGTACCAAACCCGCAATGGAAGATAGTTTCAGAGTGAGAGTCGATAAAGCTTTTGGTTCTCTCTCCTCCCTTTCCTCGTCCTCGTCATCGCAGAAGACATCATCTTCATCTCTAAGTTCTCTTTGGTGCCTCACTGATGACGAAATCGAGAGAAAAGAATGGAACAGAGACAAGGACATCCTGGAGCCTCGATCTGCTGCCTGCCTCCCTCGGTACCCTTCCGCCGCAGAGAACAAGAAACTTGGGAATTACCGCATGGATCTCGAGAAAGACCTTGACGACCTAGATGATGACGACGACGCTGATGTTTCGGAGGAGGAGCAACAACTGAGTGTCTCGTCGAGTCGGCGTTCGCGGCCGGACGATTATAACGACGAAGAGTGGGAAATTAAATCCTCTATTGGCTTGGACTGCACTCTTGATTACGAGGTATGAATTTCTCTGGTTTGTTTTACATGTATGTTTCTTCCATATATATGTTGTACTGTGTATTTTTGTTAAGCTTCATGCTTTTTGTATACCACCTTGCTCGGAACACGGGGTTTTATAATTGATAATTTTTTTGATAATTGATTAAACCTGTGGTTAACTTATGTGATTTCTGCGACGTGGGGACTGGAAATGTTTATGTACGTTAAGTAAGCAGAGGTGGAAACGGTAAGTTGGCTTGCTTTAGGATTTTGGGTTTGTCCGTTAAAGGAGCTAGAACAAAAAATTTTATCTATGGTCTTTTAAGTTTGTCTCTGAAGTATGGTAAATGGTGGGTATTCCTATGGAAAGTTCTAAACTATATGTTGATAGTCTGGTTCAGAGATGGAAGAAGAGGTTAGTAGGACTTTTGTGGTGTTTGATGGACATTACTGGTTTTCTAAGATACCTCAATCTGATTATCTTGAAAGGTGCTCATAAAGTATTTTCTAACGTCTGGTTTAGGCACTTGTTTCATATATAGTTCAATGAAGTGCATGATGTTTGGTAAATTTAGCTCCATGAAGTGCTGAATATTTATTGGATCCGCAATTGTTGTGTTAATTTTCTTTCTGTTGGGAGGAGATATTTTTGAAACTGTAATACACATTATATCATGGTCAGAAATGAATGTGATTCCTTTGCTTGTTTGGTGGTCTTCTTATGGTGTGATTAATTTTTACTTGTTGAAGTTAAAGTTTGTTGTGTGACCATTTGGCATTGATTTTTCACAAATTTGGAAATTGTTGCAGGAGGAAGAAGATGAATATGATAAAGTGGCTGTCGGCAAGGAAAAGAAAGGAGATCGTTTGTACATGAAGGATATAAATGACTATGAGATAGAATCAGGTGATTCCAACACAATTCCTGACTCATTTACTGATATCAGTAGAGATCCCCGTGCCAATCATATTGCAGCAAAAATTAGACTCAAAGAGGATGCTGAAGCTGCCAAGAGAATTGATTCTTTGCGGGTCTCTGAGAATGATGCACCTGCTGCGGTTGAGTGTCAAATTAACTCCTCTGAGGATGTTACTCTGAAATCAATTCTGAAAAGGAAGGATACTCAGGCAGATACTAGGTCACAAAAACGTGTACGTTTCGATTCTGAATGTAAAACTGATTCTGAAAAAGGATCTGAAAGAGTAGAAGATATTATGACAGAAACCTTTTCCACCGAAAACATCACTCTCACAAGTGAAGAATTGAAGCTGCATCCAGCCTATCCTTCTGGAGTTCCAGATTATTTGAGGAATCCTTCAAAATATACACATTATACTTTTGACTCAAGCGACATGGATGAAGCATCTAATAAGCAAGCATATATGGACTTCCTTAATCTACTGAAGAGACGAAAAGGTGAGTCACAGTCAGATGATGCACCTGTTCAACTTCCAAAATCGGTCACCTTTATCCCAAAAAGGAAGACAGATGAAATTACAGTTCAGGAAAACTCTACTATATCAAAACAAACTCAGGATGATGCTGGCAAAGAATCAGTACATAGCAAAGGTCTCCCTGTAGGTATTGCAGCCAGTGTTACTGGTGATGAAGTTTGTGCAATGGAGGAAGATGAAGCAGATATAGCTCCTGATAGAAGTGCCTTACAGAAATCAGGCCGTAAGTATAGGATGAAAGCAAGGTCGGACCCAGATGAATCTTTAAGTTGATCAGTAATTAATATCCTGAAATAGTAGTTTTGTGCCATCCGTTTCTCATTTGACAATGACCCCGAACTTTGTTAGGATTTGTTTTTCTATATTTGTTCACCTTTTGGTAGAAGGTAGCATATATATATATATATGTATTTCATGTATCATAGTCTAGATGGTTCAGCATACCAAAGAAGAGGGAAAGCCCCGAGAGTTGTTCTCTAGGTTGTTTTTGAAACATATGAACTTCGTTATGGAATTATTTGTATAACTATAGTTAATTTAACTAGAAAAGTTCATCAAAATGATACTAAAAAATTAAAATTTTAAATTAAGTTAAAACAATTTATTTTAAGTTTTCTTAGAATTAATAGGATTTAAGAAGTATTATCTCAGTTTTACTTGAAATTTCTATGATTCGATATTTATATTTTCCTGTTGTGTAATACCATATTGTGTTGGGTGCATGTTATGGTATTTCATATTATAATGACATTTTCTTTTTGTTAAAAAAAAAAGCACTTTTTTAGGCCAAAAGCAAAAGAAAAATTATGGCCGAAGTAGCTATTTTATATCATTCTACATTAGGATCCTCCATAGTAGAATTTTCTGTTTGAACTACAATAGTTGTTCTTCCAACAAATTCATTATCACAATTCCATTGAAAGGTGAGATTTCCAAACTGCAGTGTTTCATTTACGAGTGTCTCTAGATAAAATCACTGAATTAATCTCCACTTTCAAAGCAAAAACATTTTGTATCAACATTAAGTTTCCTTCAAATTCTAATTCCATTAAAACGAGAACGTAACACAAACATTTGCAAACAATCCATTGCTTTAACTCCAATATATGTGCCAAGATTCTCGAAATATGGATGGCAAAATAACATGTACTTAACATTTAATATTATAGAAAGGTGTACAGCTTAAAAGCAAATGCTAATTTCTCAATTTACAAAAACACAGAGAAAGTAGGATGAATGATAGCTTAGGATTGCCGCCTCATAAATTCAATCCATGTATGCGTAATAAACAATTATGAACATCTTAATTTTGTCAAAATAAACTGAATGCAGTTTAATAACTAATCCGATATATTGATCAATAGTCAAGGACTTCCAAACTAACCACAAGTTGCGAGACCCCGCAAGAGCCTTACAACAACATTTACATAACTTGCTGACTTCCAACAAGAAAATAACTACTATCATTATCCTCATCTTGTTTACCATTTTTCCTAAAAGTGAAGATCAGCACAAGTAGCCATAGTTCTACAAGGAAGGACAGTTCACGTACAAATTGGAAATGGAACTAAAAATCGCTCCAGCATTTGGCGAAAAAGATTTAGAAATATATATCATCCAATATAGTTCAACATTTAGTACAAACGCTTCCTGCAATCCCCTGCACCACAAAAGCATGGTACTCGCTTTACTTTTCCATCAGGACCATGCACGCTATCAAGGGCATAACCATAGTCGTATGTGAGTTCCTGAAGTAAAGGCACAAAGAAGAGTTAAAGGATGAAGAAGCTGAATAACTAAAAAACGTAGCATGCACATCAAGTTGTGCAATCATAAATTCACAAACAGAAATATTCTATCCCAGGACAATGCCAATTTTGATCTTTTGATATTTTCATCCCTAAA